CAGGACAGTGGAAAGACACAGAATCCCAGTTTTGTCCCTGAGGCACTCTGGGCCTCAATTTCCCTGCCTCGAATTTGGGAGTCAGAGTCCCCACCACATGGCACTGCTGTGAGGCTCAAGGGGAAATGAGGTCTGTGGGACCTTTCGGTGACTTTTGAAGCACAACATAAATGTGAGTGACCCTTATAATTAACACGCCCGCAGAAGCTGGGTCAGTGCTGAGCCCCCACCAGCCTCACTCCCTGCACTTGGAGCTGTGCCCTGGGCCCTTGTCTGAATCTGCCAGTGGCCCAGGGCGGCTGGAGGGAGCATGAGGCTCATCGGCCCAGGAATCCACCGGAGAGGGTTCTGGAGGCCACCATGATTCTACCTTGGATGACAGTCCATCCCTCCTCCACAACGCATCCTTCCGAGCGCCATTCTGCAAGCTCTTCTCCCGATCCACAGATGACTCTGCCCTGAACAGGATCACACAGCAATGGCCCCAACCCTGGAATTGCAGATCAGGGCAAAATGGTGAAGCAGCCCACCACAGTGTTACCTGAGACAGCCAGGGTCATCTCAAGCTCGTTGTCAATCTCTGGGGCAAAACAGAAGATGGCCTGGTGGCTTTTCTGGCGATGTGGGTGGAGAAGCACAGCAAGAAAGAACAGAAGCCTGTGCCCTACATTCAGTGCAGTGAGAATCGTATGTGCAAAGGCCCTGTGGTTGCAATATATTTGGTATGTCTGAAGAACACTATAGCCTGAGTTCAGAAGCAAAAGGGACAGACGATACTACATCAAAAACAAATGATGTAATGTATGGTGATTAACATAACAATAAAAAATTTTTTTAAAAAGGGACAGATGATATCCAGGAAGTAATCAGGGGCCAAATGGTAGAGACCACAATTAGGCCTTGGTATTTGGTTGAAGTGTAATGGGAAACCATTGGAGGGTTTTGAGTAGGAAAGTGACATGATGAGATTCATATTTTTTAAGGTATTAATAATAATTAATAAAGAGTAATGAACACCCATGTGTCCACCATACACTTTAAGCAATACATCCTCGCAGATACAAGTGAAATCCCTGTGTCCCCCTCCCTCTCTCCCATAATGAACACCACCACTGTTCTGAATTTGATGTTTTTCTTATGAATCACCTTTACTGTGTATTATACCACCTCAAGATTATATATGTGCATAATTATTTTGTTATTGTTCAACTTTTTCTTTAAAGATTTTATTCTTAAGCAATCTCTACACCCAACATGGGGCTCGAACTCACGACCCCAAGATCAAGCCCCTACCCGCCAGGTGCCCCTATGATTGTTCAACTTTTTAGAGATAATATTACACTATATATTTTTCCTGCTATTTGCTTTTATGGCTCATCATGCTCGTGAACGTCTCCCACGTTGATATGTGTGGTTCTGGTTCATTCATTCTTTACTACTCTACTTAATTGTACATTATCCTGTTCCCAGACACTTAGGATGTTTCCCGTATGTTTCAACCCCAGATAATTCTGATGCGAACACTTTTGTCTCTGGCGCATACATCAAGCTTCTCTAGGGTAAACTCCTATGAGTGGGGTTTCTAGGTCATAGAATATGCACATGTTCCATATTATAGGTATCAATCACCAAGCTGCTTTCATTGACAATCCTACCAGCAGAGGATGAGGATGGCCCCTTGTCTTCAGCAGTTCTTGATATTGTCAGACTTTTTGAAGTTTGTGCCAGGCTGGGGGTGTGAAATGGCACCTTACTGTGATTTTCATTTTCATTACCTTCATTACTAGTGAGAGTGAGCCTTTTCATGCATGTATTGGCATTCCCATTTTCTCCCCTGTAAATTGTCAGCTTGTCCCTGATTGTGACTTTTCTTGTAGGTTGCTAGTCCTTTTCTTGCTGCGTTTTAGGAATTTTTTCTGTAGTCTAGGGTGCCTGGGTGGCTCAGTTGGTTAAGTGACTGCCTTCGGCTCAGGTCATGATCCCGGAGTCCCGGGATCGAGTCCCACATCGGGCTCCTTGCTCAGCAGGGGGTCTGCTTCTCCCTCTGACTCTACCCCCTCTTGGGCTCTCTCTCTCACGCTCTCTCTCTCACAAATAAATAAATAAAATCTTAAAAAAAAAAAAAGGGAAACATTTAAAAAAAAAGGAATTTTTTCTGTAGTCTAGATTCATTCATTCAGCACATTGTCACTGAGCACCCTTAGACGCCAGCTACTCTTCTCAGGTATTTGGAATAGTTTCTTGGGAAGGACAGTCTTCATGGAGCCTTTGTCTTCCCAGTGAACACCTAGTCTTCTATCCCCTGCATTTTCCGAAAACTGCTCATAGCTACAGGCTTAATTAGATTCAGGCTCAAAAAAAAATTCCCTTTTGCAGCTCGTCTTAGACTGACACTGTTGTGTACGCCAAGAGGCACAGAATGTTAGCTTATTTCATGTGGAGTGCTGTTAACACTGCTGAGTATCTCCAAAGGTGGCCAGCGCAACCAGGCTGTTGGACAAAGACCTTCTCAACCTTCCACCTACAGGTGCTAGGAGCTGATGAGGATCATCACCTGGGTCCACCGCTCCACTGCGGTTGCCAAACGATTCCTGTTGAATTTACCAGCTGGAATTGCTCCAAGAAGAACTTCCATTCACCAACTGTAGTGGGTTGAATGGTGCCCCCTCCAAAAAAGGTATATCCACCCAGAAACTGTGAATGTGACCTTATTTGAAAAAAAGGATCTTTGCAGATGCCATTAAGGATTTTTAATTTTATTTTAATGAGGGATTCCGAGATGAGATCATCCTGGATTGTCGGGTGGGCCCTAGAGACGATGACAAGTGTCGTAAGAGACAGACGGAGGGACACAGACACAGAGAGCAGAGAAGTGATGTGAGGACAGAGGCAGAGATTGGAGGCAGGCAGCCCTGGGCAAGAAGAGCCTGGAGGCATCAGAGTTGACAGAAACAGGGAAGGTCTCTCTCTTAGAGGCCTGGGGGGACCTTGGCCCGGCCAATACCTTGATTTCGGATTTATGGTTTCCAGAACTGTGAAAAAAAAAAATACATTTCTCTTCTTTTAAGCCAGGCAGTTTGTGGTCATTGGCTACAGCAGCCCAGAACCCACTAGGAGATTTCTCCAAAATACAATTTGGACAGAAAAGGCAGGACAAACACCTGCTTCTTCCCCTCTATTTTCAATTTATAGAATAATAAGTTGTTCCCCTAGCAACCTCCAAAGTTGACCAGTGAGTTTTCTTTCATTGTTTTAGCACCATATGAGCTCATGAATTTTCTATATATTTGATATGTTTTGATCCATTGCAGTTTTATTCTTTCTCTTTTTTTTTTTTTTTTTTTTTGATGCTTATTGTCCCAAGAGCCCGTTCCAGATGGCCCCTGTGTCTTTTGGGCATGACTCCAGTCGTTTTAGGTAAATTTCTTGTTTTCTGGCCTAAAAAGATACCCCAGACCCCATCCTGTATATCCTTTTGCCCCAGATCGGGACTCGGCATCTCTCCAAGGAGCCCTGGTTCCTCATGGTGGGAAAGAGAGAGGCCACTGTCCAGGCACAAGGTGTCCATTGTTGCTGCTCATGGTTGTTTCCAGGCCTGAGAAGTACATAAGGCTATAAAATACATGCCCCCTAGAAAAAGAATTTATCAAGTCACGCTGGTATTTCCAATTTGAATTTAAAATTACAGGGTTTTTACTTAGCTTTTTTGCTTTTATATTTGGATCTCTGTTATATTATCCTGAAAATCTTGTTACTGAGGGCATAAACATAATTATGTCCATATAGTAACATAGTGTAGCAATTACACACACATGGGCACACATCTTCAAAGTAACAATACTAGTACTGACCAGATACTGACAAGATTCCTGAGTACTGTTTGGATTTCTTTGCAGTTCTTCTTGGCCTTAGGACATACCTACCCCACTAGGTGTGATAGTAAAATCACCATGTTTAAAGATAACTTGGATGGGGCGCCTGGCTGGTTCAGTCGGTGGAGCATGGAACTCTTGATCTTGGGGTCAGAGTTCAAGCCCCACATTAGGTGTAGAGATTGCTTAAAAAATAAAAATCTTTAAAATAAATAAATAAATAAATAACTTGGATGGGGGCCTGGCTGGCTCAGTCGGTGGATCGTGCAACTCTTGAACTCGGGGCTGTAGGTTGGAGTCCCATGTTGGGTGTAGAGATTACTTAAAAATAAAATCTTTAAAAAAATAAATTAGGGGCGCCTGGGTGGCTCAGCTGGTTAAGTGTCTGGCTCAGGCCATGATGTCAGGGTCCTGGGATAGAGCCCCACATTGGGCTTTATGCTCAGTGGGGAATCTACTTCTCCCTCTGACCCTCCTGCCTCTCGCGCTCCCCCTCTCTCAGATAAATGAATAAACTCTTTTAAAAAATAAAACTAGTGAATTAAAATAACTTGGAAAAATTCTTCTCTGTGTATGCTAACAACTCAATATACAACTATTCGGTCATTTTACTATGTTTTCACATTTTAAGTTAAGTTTTAGGGATTTAAAAAGATCTTTAAAATTTAATTTTGTTTTATAAGGATGTAAAACAGGGGGCGCCTGTGTGGCTCAGATGGTTATGCATCTGCCTTCCGCTCAGGTCTTGATCCCGGGGTCCTGGGATCGAGCCCCACGTTAGGCTCCTGGCTCAGCGAGGAGCCTGCTTCTCCCTCCCCCTCCACCTCTCCCCCAGCTCATGCTCTCTCTCTGTATCTCTGTGTCTCAAATGAATAAATATAAAAAAGGATGTAAAAAGGAAGTTTCCAAAGTTAAAACTACCGAACAGGGTGCGCTCGGAAAAGCCCAACTTCCAGCCCCATCCTCCATTCTTCTTCTGCCTCCCCTTTTAGGTAACCATTATAATTAATTTTTGGTTCATTTTCCCCTTGTTTTTGAGCACAGACAGGCATGTGTAATCCTGTTTATGTCTTCGTTCACTTGTTTACGTAAACCCCTGGGCTGCGCTGCTCACTGTCTCCACTCCAGTTCATCGCAGAGCCTCATTGCTGGGGGAGAGGATGAATCTCACCACAGCGAATGCCATTTCCTGGCTGAGCATCCTGCAGCAGCCGCCCATCATCACCCGCAGGAGAAGATCTAAAACACCTCAGTGGTACAGAGGTGCTAGTGTGCCTGACCTCCCCCGTACCCCCTTTCCCTTCTGGCTCCCTTGAACCTGCTCCTCTAGCGGCACCAAACTCTCCCTCCCGTGTGTTTTCCCTTCAGCACAAGCGACCACCCCTCCCAACCCCCCCACTCCCGCTTGCGGCGCCCCTCGCCTTCCCGCTGGGCTCCCCAGGTGAACTCCTTCAACCCAGGCCAAGCACCAGCCCCTCTGCGGAGGTCACACACAGTCGTTCTTTCCGGGAGAGGGTGATGGGTCAGCTCAATGTCTGTCCTGCTCACGGGACTTGAGCTCCCAGTGTAGAGACCATCCCTCCCGCCCCACCTCTGTGGCCCAGTCCTCAGCTCCACGCCTGGCAAGTGGCAGGTGCTTTACAAAGCTTGGATAAATGACAGGGAAGCCTTCTGTAGCTAAAACAACTTGGATACAAAAGACCTGGCTTCAGATCCTGGCTCTACCATCTTTTACCTGGGAGATGGTGGGCGAGTCACTGGGCTGTGCTGCATCTTGGCTTCTGTTTCAGTAAACTGGGGGAAATGCAGCTCCGCTGAGGGGTAAAGGAAGTCAGAGGTTAAGGATGACAGTGTGTGCGGGAACAAAGCCAGTAAGGAGAGCGGACAAAGGAACTGGGAAGAACATGGGGGGCTGGGCCGGAGACGGGGGAGTCGAAGAGCCAGTGGTGAGAAAGGGGCCTCAGTCAAAAACACGCATCAGTGTACCCAAACCTCAGCGATTATCGCAGTAAGTGATGACGACAGTAAGCGGCAGAACTGGCCCTTGAACCCAGCTCTACGGACAAGGCCCAGCCACCATCTGACTGATGAGGACGAGATCTGCACCATCGCTCCTGGGAGCCTGCAATCCTGCTCCTCTATTTTTCCTTTGCTCACACAGCCTGGCTAGGGCTCCAGGCCTCCCCACCGACAAGTTCCCAAGGTAAGACTCTCTCCTTCTTCCTAAACTTGGTCCTGGAACCCCTCCCACCTTGATCTCTGTCCCATCACCAGTGTCCCTGGGGGGATGGCAAAGAAGGCATATTCAAAGTGGTACAAAGGAAGAGAAAAGAGAAATTTTCAAATGACAAATTCCCAAAGACATTTTATTACACCTAAATCCCACACGGCAGGCCGGGCTGCTTTGTAATTTACACAGATCAACATGCATGATTTGATAGGAAGATACTTAGGGCTCCATTTCCTTCAAATTTCTATTCCAATCAATTCCCATTGGTGTTGTCTAACAAACCCCTTCTCACACCCTTAAACTACCTCATTTACTCTCACGGATGATGGTTTCCCATGTCTTAACTCAGAAACTGAACAGGAGCCTCGGGGAGGCTGCCATTCTGACATGCGATTTCTCAGAGCCGGGGGGACCCGGGGGGAGCCTGGCAGGGCGCGGGCTCGGGGGAGGGCCACCTCGTCCTGTACACCCCCCCGTGTTCAAGCTCGCCGCCTGTAGCGTTTTTCTTTCATGTTTTTCTTGTCAGTAAGTCTTCTCAAGTACTCCAGCTTATCGTTGAGCTTGTTTATATAAAGCTGGAACTCAGGACCTAGATTATTTCCTATAAAAAGAAGAGTTAATACAGAAAGGTCAAAAGTTTGGTGGTCCTTGTGAAAACAGAATGTGGGACAGCCAGACACCATTCCCCACACCTGTACTTACGGGAAGGATTTTAGGTTCCTCAGAATGCCCTCCATGTTCCCATCCCATTGGCTTCAAGCACCTTCACACTGAGTTTAGGCATGTAAGCTGCCAGAATCCAAGGGCTGAGATGTCAAAGGTGGTTCTACCCCTGGACCTTGGTTTCTCATGTGATGCTGAGGAGCCCTGACCTTAAGGGGACGTGGGTGTTTTCCAATAAATGAATTGCAAAACATCTATATTTGGCCATTATCTTGCTTTTGTAATCTTGCTTCTTTGTCAGGTCATTCCTTATTGATGGGTTGATCATATTAACCCATCAGGGGGTGGAATTCGGTGCAACTATGAGGCATCAGGTGGGTGACACAACCTCGCTGACCGGATACCAGAGCTGCTACCTAGAAGTCTGGGTCTGAGGGCAGGTGGGGCAAGATGATGCCCAGTTCTCTTCTCTTAACACAAAGGGAGGCTGTCGTTCCGGTCCCCTGGCTGCAAGTGGGGGAAGAAGCCTTCTTACTATCTACTGGGAGCTGAAGTAATAATCTTAAACAGTGAGTCTCAGAAGGGTGGGCACAATGGACATCTAGGCAAACTGCAATGTGGGGCATCTTGGTGGGATAGCTAAACCACCTGAGCGCCCTCCTGAGGGTGAATTGGAGTGACACACCCCCCCTCGTGGAAAGAGCATTTGGGGTGTGCCGTATGGGAAACTATACAATCTGCAGGGAAAATGGGAACATGGCAGGATTAGAACAAGGAGGCGGATCAGTGGGTCTATGCTCCCTTTGGCTAGGCTGCTAGCATTTGGACCTTCTTAGCAGGATGTCACCCTTTGGAAAAGGAATGGGCACTATTAATATCGTATTAGTGGAATATGGGGAAATGATCATTATAACTGGTGTCCTTTTTCCTCTGTTAGTATTGTTGGAGGAGCAAACAAATGCAAGGGAAAACAATCAATGAACCAGGAAGGAAAGATCGGGACAAAATCACAAATGGGCCTTTACTGATGAGGAGGGAAGGGGAGGGCATGTCTGGATATTTAAAAGTTTTGAAAAATACATATAATCAGTTGGGGTAAAAAAAATTAGTTGGGGTACTATTGAGTGGGCAATATTGATTGGAGACCAATTCTATTGTATTAGAGGATGTAAAGGTTTCAGGAATGGTTAGGAGAAATAGACTGTAAAGACAATGAATTCAGGGAATGTGTACAGATCACCACAATTTTACAGAGAAACAGATAAAATAAAGATGGGAAAATTGCAGAATAAGTGCATTCTTGCAACCACAGCAATAAGGTGAGCCAAGAAGCCTGACCCAGTGGGTTAGAGGGTCCCGTCCCAGGGAGGCTGGACGGGTCATGCCTACTTCCAGCACCCCGGTGTCTGGGGCGTGATGCCCAAGAAAATTTGGTAAACAATACATGCTCTAGCTAACCCCACCTTGAGGGAATGTGTGGGAGTTGGGGATGGCCTTGGGAACAGACCAAGATAAAGGTGTGAGGGAAATAATTTTGAGTTGTGTTTAATAAGGATACCTTGAGCCTACACTCTTTTGGGAGCGTCAGGATGTCGCTGAGCATCTTGCTTCTCCTACTGCCTCTGGCCAAGACCAAGTAGGAAATAAATCATGTAACTGTCCATCCTTGTGGTCTCTGTTCTACCCACTGGCATCACTGCCTGGACTGGGGAGATGAGCCATCTCCTCTGCCCACACATGCCCTGTACAGATTGGCCCATCCGAGCCTCCTGCCCTTTAGATGACTCTCCCTTCCCTACTATTGCCAGAAGAGATGTGTCCACCCAGGGAAGGAAGAAAACAGGACTCAAAAAATTGCAAAGGATAAACAAGAGTTGATCTTACCCCGGTTAGGGAGATTGATGAGGTTGGTTTCCACCACTCTATTGTTCAGGGGCTGGGTCCTCCGGTAGTTATTGTGGAGGGTCTTGTTCTGGTGATCCACTATGGAATTCTCTAGCTTCCAAATCTACAGGCCACATGAAGTGAATTATGGAGGGGAAGAGGTACTGGGTGGTTTAAAAGAGCATAATTAGCCACTGAACTAGAGCTTGGGTTTATTTCTATAATCCTGATAAAGCAGGTATGAGAAAATCTCAAGTTCTGCTACATGGCAGGCAGGGCATCCATCCTTCCATCCCTCCATCCATCCATCCTTCCATCCATGCATCCATCCTTCCATCCATCCATCCATCCATCCATCCATCCATCCATTCTTCCAACCATCCATCCATTCTTCCAACCATCTCTTTTAATTGTTTTCTATGAATATTTGATCACCAGTAGAAAGGAGGAAAAGAAGCAAACAGATTTGTGTGTGGGTATCCTTGAATAGGGGTCTTTCCACCTTTTCCTGCACTGGGGAAGTAAAAAGTTTAAGAAAAAGATCTATTTGTTCCTGAGGAAGAACATCACTCAGAAGGAAATGTAGCTTTGCCTCTGCGACCTCAGTTACATTTGTCCTTTCATTAACGCAACAAATATTTATAATGCACCATGCTATGCTGGGGAACAAAAGGTAGCCAATACAGCTCTTCTCCTCAAAGGGCTGCAGGAGTGTTAGCACGGTAAAGAGCTAACGATGTCAATATGTCAACATGTCCTTGCCTAAAGCCATTTATGAAGTTGGAATGTAAGCTCCGTGAGGACGGGGGTTCTGTCCATCAAGGGCCTAGAACAGTACCTGGCGGGAGCATCCGCTCAGTAAACATTGCCTTCACCATGCAGCTCTTCTCTGACTGAGGTCAGGTCCCAGTCCTTTTGCTGCATCCAAGGTCTCAGGGCTCCTTGGATTCCCTGATGCCTCAACTTGTTCATCTCTGCCAGAGGGCTGGTAAGATCACGCATGGCCACAGAGGTGAGGCACAGTAGCCCCGGGCATGAAAAGCACCCTAGGAGCCAAGTGTTGGCATGAGGTAAGATGTAGGGGAGCACTCTTGTCAGCCAGGCAGTCAGAAGGGGAGACTGGGAGGTGATGCCATGTCTTACCTGTGCGCTGGAGAGCGGGACATGATGGACCAGCACAAACCAGTGGACGTTCTCAGTACAGGGAGGAGTGGTGAGTGACCCCCTATAGCTGTAGTAGTGGTGGATGTTCTCGGGGAGCATGTCCAGAATGTCAAGGCCACTCAGAACCGTGCTTTGTCCTAACAGAGAGGACAAAAGATAAAGGAAGGTGAGGGGCCACCGGTGTCCCTTGGGAGGACAGCTCAGGCTCAAACCTCTCCATGTTTGAATCTCCTGATTCACCAGAACATAGAAGCTGATCGTTAGAAACATTTCCCCAGCCTGCTGCTTCCTAGAAGGGGGTA